CCCCTCCCTTGCCTTCCACAATGCCATGATCTAAAAATCTACTGTTTATTTATAGTTCCACTCTTGCCTTCCACAATGGCATGATCTAAAATCGAACTCTTCAAAATTTCCCCCCTGCCTTCCACCATGCCATGGTCTAAAATCTAACTTAAACTTCCCCCCGCTTGCCTTCCACAATGCCATGATCTAAATTCCAACTCTTTGTTTCAATTTCATCCCCGTGCCTTCCACAATGCCATGATCTAAAATCTAACTCTTTATTTAAACTTCCCCCTCCTTGCCTTCGACAATGCCATGATCTAAATTCTAACTTTTATTAAACTTCCCCCTTGCCTTCCACAATACCATGACCTTCAAAGGCTTCAGCCAAGGCTTCAACGCTCGAAGCCACCTTAAGGTACCTTAAGGGAGCTTCGAAGGCTTCGAAGGCACCTTAAGGGGGCTTCGAAGAATTCGTCCAAGCCCGCTTAAGATACCTTCGAAGTCTTCGGCGAAGACCCCTTAAGGTACCTTCGTCGAAGCCCCCTTAAGGTACCTTCGAAGGCTTCGAAGCCCCCTTAAGATACCTTCGAAGCCTTCGAAGCCCCCTTAAGGTACCTTAAGGGGGCTTCGGTTCCTCGTTCACCCCCCCCCTCCCCCCCCGTCCCCCCTTCGGCAAAGGCTTAAGGTACCTTCGAAGGGGGCTTAAGGTACCTTCGTCGAAGGGTGCTCCACGACTGCCCCGGATTCCAAAATCTGGATAAAATGTTGAAAGATTTTCCCAAAGGTACCAAAGTAGTCCATCGTCAACTGAAGTGGGGCTACATGCGGGACGACTGGATAAACAAAATCTCTTGGACGGAGCACATCGAAGAGGGTGCGCACTTCGAACTCATCACCTTGTCCAGAAACATTCATGAAGGAGGCAACGGAAGCTGGACATCCCAGACATGCATTGGTGAGAGTGTCAGACCTGATGAAGTCCACACTCCAAGAAGTTTTTCTGGGCGACCCTTTCAAGATCAGATCCAAGCGGGCCTCATTTCTGAAAAAATGGATGAAAAGGGCAGTAGAACTCAGAGCTGATGAAAAGAAGTTGCATGACATCTTCCTGATCACCTTCAACGCCTGTTAGCCAACAAAAAGCTCTTACTGTGGAAAGAGATACTGGTAGATCTCGAGTATCCGGATTACAAGGTTGTGAAAGTTTGTGTCCCTTGCAGGGTTACAACTTGGCTTTGGTGCGAGCTGCCATTCATTGAGTATGTGGTAGTGGAACTGGACTATGGGAAGATGTCTGCAACAGACTTGAGCAGTTTCGATGTTGCTTTGTAGTATTTGAAGCTGCCGGAGTTGCTTTGAGATATCGACCTGTGGGTCTGAGTGAATCTACACGGAGTTCAAGACACTTTAAGTACAGTTTGGAGCTTTATTTAGCTTTATGATACTGAGCGAATGCTTCCAGAAGCATTCGCTATGCAATTGAATCGGGATGTTATGATTCCATCGATCTCGGAAGTTCTTTGACCTCTTGGAGGAGTATGAATCTAACTGAGATGGTTGTGGATCATCCGTTTCGATTCTTGTCATTGCTTCATACATCTGAGATGTTTGTGAAGCCTTTTTGCAAGAGGTAGTCAAGAGGTGATCTTGCGAGTATGCGAGATACTCCGGCCTTGTGAAGACAATGCCTACGTATCTTATTCGACCTCTGGGTATTTGATCTGGGAGTCTATTTTGTGACCTTTGTAGCTGTGAATTTTGGCTGACATTTGGTTATTGCAGTAAGCGAACTACTTTAGCGCTATGACTGCTGATGACTGGATATTAGCTGAGAAGTCGAGCAGAGCATTTGAGTATGTGAGATACTTCGGCATTGCGAGGACAATGCCTACGTATAGTAGTCAACCTCCGGGTACTTGATCTGGAGAGCTACGTTATGATCTTTGTGTCTGTGACTTGTTGCTGACATTTGGTTATAGCAGTAAGCGAACTACTTTAGCGCTATGACTGCTTATGACTGGATATTAGCTGAGAAGTCGAGCAGAACATTCTACTCTCCTCTGTAGTTTGGAACTATGAGAAGACATCTCTGTGTGAAGAGCTGTTTTGGAGAAGTCGAGCAGAACATTCTACGCTCCTCTGTAGTTTGAAGCTAGGAGAAGACATCTCTAAGTGAAGAACTGTTTTGGAGATGGAACATGAGGTTCCCATGTTGTTCTGTATTGCAAGAGGATTTTGTAAAGGAATTTGAGTGGAACATTTCGTTCTTAACTAGCCGTGTGACTAGTCTAGACGTTTGGTAAAGACTAGTAACACCGGCTAGCTGGTTATTTGCGTTTGGACGAGAACCAGTTTGACTTGAGAACTTTTGGAAATGTTTCTGACGTTTTGTGACTAGGTGATTTGTATATCATAGCAGTTCGGAATTGTTTCAACAACCTTTGAGGGAAGGTTGTGTGTTGGAAACCTGGAATCGAGTTTCCCAGTTGAGACATCGGCTCAAGGGAGTGGTGTCAAGTGTTCCGAAGCGAACTGAACTGCAGTGTCACCTAGGGCACTTGAAACAGTAGCCACACTGGAACCTCTTGCTTCCTTTCTTTGTTTGTGGGCTGTGGCCGTGTGCCTGCCCTGGTTCTTGTTGACCTGTTCCGTTGTGTGTGGCGTCTGGAGAGAAAAGAAGGAGTCTGACGTGCACTTAGGAGTCGGGGTGGAACAAGTTCCTTTATTTGACTTTGTGGGGAAGTAAGTAACTGCGGAGCTGCAAACACAGTAGGTGTTTGCGTCTGGCGTAGTGATTTTACGAAAGCGTCGATTCGGGTACACGAGAGGTGTACTTGGGTTTACCTTTTTGGTGTCGGCGCTGTTAAGGGGCCGTGGGCTGTCTTCATTTTTTATATGTTCTATGTTCTTCTTGTCATTGGGGGGTGGGGGGGTGGGGGGGGGGGATGTCAACGTTCTTTGCGACTGCTAGGTTTCTCTTGCACTTCCACACATACGTCATGCTACGCTACTGCTAGGTTTCTCTGGCACTTCCACACATACGTCATGCTACGCTACTGCTAGGTTTCTCTGGCACTTCCACACATACGTCATGCTACGCTACTGCTAGGTTTCTCTGGCACTTCCACACATACGTCATGCTACGCTACTGCTAGGTTTCTCTGGCACTTCCACACATACGTCATGCTACGCTACTGCTAGGTTTCTCTGGCACTTCCACACATACGTCATGCTACGCTACTGCTAGGTTTCTCTGGCACTTCCACACATACGTCATGCTACGCTACTGCTAGGTTTCTCTTGCACTTCCACACATACGTCATGCTACGCTACTGCTAGGTTTCTCTTGCACTTCCACACATACGTCATGCTACGCTACTGCTAGGTTTCTCTGGCACTTCCACACATACGTCATGCTACGCTACTGCTAGGTTTCTCTGGCACTTCCACACATACGTCATGCTACGCTACTGCTAGGTTTCTCTGGCACTTCCACACATACGTCATGCTACGCTACTGCTAGGTTTCTCTGGCACTTCCACACATACGTCATGCTACGCTACTGCTAGGTTTCTCTGGCACTTCCACACATACGTCATGCTACGCTACTGCTAGGTTTCTCTGGCACTTCCACACATACGTCATGCTACGCTACTGCTAGGTTTCTCTGGCACTTCCACACATACGTCATGCTACGCTACTGCTAGTTTCTCTTGCACTTCCACACATACGTCATGCTACGCTACTGCTACTTGCACATTCACACATACGTCATGCTACGCTACTGCTAGGTTTCTCGCTGCTACGCTACTGCTAGTTTCTCTTGCACACATACGTCATGCTACGCTACTGCTAGGTTTCTCTTGCACTTCACACATACGTCATGCTACGCTACTGCTAGGTTTCTCTTGCACTCACACATACGTCATGCACTATACGTGCTACGCTACTGCTAGGTTTCTGTGGCACTTCACACATACGTCATGCTACGCTACTGCTAGGTTTCTCTGGCACTTCCACACATACGTCATGCTACGCTACTGCTAGGTTTCTCTGGCACTTCCACACATACATGCTACGCTTGCTAGGTTTCTCTGGCACTTCCACGTCATGCTACGCTACTGCTAGGTTTCTCTTCACTTCCACACATACGTCATGCTACGCTACTGCTAGGTTTCTCTGGCACTTCCACACATACGTCATGCTACGCTACTGCTAGGTTTCTCTGGCACTTCCACACATACGTCATGCTACGCTACTGCTAGGTTTCTCTGGCACTTCCACACATACGTCATGCTACGCTACTGCTAGGTTTCTCTGGCACTTCCACACATACGTCATGCTACGCTACTGCTAGGTTTCTCTGGCACTTCCACACATACGTCATGCTACGCTACTGCTAGGTTTCTCTGGCACTTCCACACATACGTCATGCTACGCTACTGCTAGGTTTCTCTAGCAGCACTTGTCGTTCTTTTGATCTTTTTTGTCTTGAAAACTGGTGGATGGTGAATGTCGGCATAATAATAATATGATGCTCATTTTTGCATGCATCATTTGCACCGTTCATTCTTTGAAAACTCCGCTGCTTATGGGCTTCAGTTTTGGAGGGAATGTGGCCTCTTCCCGCTCCTGGTCAAGTTTTTTCTGTTGGGGTTGGTTTGTCTTTTGTTTTGTTGTGTCGTTTGTCTCGTGTTCCGTGTCCCTTGTTTTGTTTGGAGCTAACTTCCTTGTGGCAACTTCCTGTGTCTTTTCTTGATTCTCATCAAGATTCTTTTTGTTCCGTGTTTACTGGATCCGATATTTGTTGGTCTTCTCAAGTTGTGTGTGGGGATCCTTCTGGTGTCTTTCCTTGGCTACGTGTCTTGCCTCACGTGCGTGCCTTGTCTCGTTTTTGGTTTAACGTTAGTTGGTCTCTACGTCCTTCGCCAGTGGTCACCGGTGCTCTCCTGATTTTCGCTCGTCGCTTTTCTCGCTTTCGTTCTTCCTCGGTCCTTCCGTCTTCCGTGTACGCAGCCATGGACGCAGTGGCAAATCTTCCGCCAGATGTGTTTCTGGGCCTCATTGGTTTTGCATTCGCATGCGTTAACGTGTACTTGCTGTGTTTGATGGTGTCTGTTTTTTGGTTGCCTTTTGAGGTTTCGCTCCGGTGACACTACTCCACGCTCAAAGTCTCGCTCCAGATCTCCACTGCGGTTTCTTGTACGCATCTTCGGGGGTAGTGTTCTTTGGCTTCCTTTTTTTTTTCGCGCGAATCTTTCCTATGCCCGCTCCTGTGCAACAGAGTGTGCGGCCAGCGTCTTCTGCTCGAAGCTCTGCTGCTGGTGAAGATGATTTGGTTTCTCCTTTGCATATGGGTCAGCGTTTTTTTAAAAAACCATTTGTTGCTGCGCAGCAGAATCAGGGATTTCTCTATATCTTCACTTTCCTCAGGTATTCCTCGACTATCTGGACGAAGGTATGCCTAGTCCTATGCGTGTGGAAGACAGTCCGCATACAAGGAAACGCAAGAGTGCCTGGGTAGTTCCAAAACACATGGTTCGAAACCCGAGATAAAAAGATAATGCATATAATTTCATTCTTCTTCCAGAGACCTTGCCTCAGCAGAGGCAGCAGTACTGTCACAGCCATATCGAGTTACAAAAAAAATATCTACATATAACATAAATAAATATATATATATATATTAATTTAAAAAAACATGTATGTTTGGCGTCAACTTGTTGTTGCCTCTGTTTACTTTTGCTCGGTGAGCTTTTTTGCGAACGCACTCCTTCCGCGCCACGCTTCTTGATGCTCTTCCTCTGCGAGGGTTCGTGTTTTTGTTTTGGTTCTGCTCCCTGCTTGCGACGCGTTCCCTCTCTTCGCATCTCGCTCCTCGCGTCCTGCTGCCTTGCCGTCTGAATATATATATATATTGATTGATTGCCAGTGCGTTGTCTGAGACAGCGACTTGTTCTGGCTGATTGAGGAACTTTATTTTCTGACGTTTCTCCGTTATTTGGTCAACAGTTTAACCTGAACTAAACAACAACTCTGTGACTTGGTTTGAAATTCTCACTTGTGAATTTTTCGATTCAAGGGTGGGTGAGGAGGGTTTCCTGCTAAATTGCAGGATGTTGAATTTTTGATCCCGCCCTCACTTCGTTCCCAACCCCCCAAACCAAGTCCTGGAGAACCTGACTGGCGTACCAGCAGGAAACAATCGAAGGATGACACCCCCGACAACGAGTTTGGAAAAAGAGTGGCGCGATTTCAGTTGTGCATGTTGTCCTTGCAAGTGAAGCCGTTATTTTTATTTTGAAAATAAGACAAACAAAAGCGAGCGCGTGAAGGAGTGAGCTAAGTAAACGTATATATATATATATATATACTGTATATATGTATATAGATATACACAAATTCTGGATTGGTTGCAGAGTGGTTAATGCAGATGTTTTTATGGAATCTTCATGTTGATGGGTTAGTTTTGGTGTGTGTAAGCAATAATAATACAGGTGTTTTGGGTTTTTTGAGGGTTTCCATTACTTATTCTTTGTCAATGATGTGATTTTGACGGTCAGATTCTTGTATTGCGGAGATATTGGTTGTAGCAATCATGCAGCTTCATGATTCATGGTTGGGGTGAAATTCGTTCTTGGGAGAATGTTGGAAAAATAATATTCAAAACCATGAATGTGGGGATTCCTGGATAAGTTTTGATCGATCGTGTAAATAATAAAACCTGGATCATGGTCTCATGATGGTATGATGTTTAAACCAATAATGAGATGGTAACATGAAGAAATCGTCTTTAGATTCTTGTCCCCAATGGGTCATGTCACGTGTAAGGTTGGCATCTGATTCAGATGAATACCTTGGATGCCATCACGAATTCCGCCGTGGTGCTAGATGCGTTTCTCGGCCAGCACTTCTCTGGTGTGGGATGTCTTTAATTCTGTGTAGCCACCGTGCAGGAAAACTGTCTTGTTTATTTGGTTCATGGGCTTGATGTGAGGTCCGTGGACGATGTTTTGTCAGTGCCATCTTCTGCGGATGATTCGCCTGCAGAAGGCCATGCGGTCGATGCGTTGGAGCCACCTGAAGGTGTTCCTGTTCAAGGTCCGCAGACCTTGGGGCAATGGTTGGCTGAAGAGCAAGAAGCTTTCTTTGCCTGGTGTGATGATTTGATGTCTCCTTGCCTTGCGTCTCCTGAAAGCCTTGCCGATGTTGCGCCAGAGAAAAAGTTCAAGTGGGGTGCCTGCAAGAAGTGTGGCAAAGCAATGAGTCCTACGGTGCATGCGACTGGTGCTCTCAGGGGGAGAGTTTTTGCTGCGTTGCAACGACTGGTGGCGGTTCACAGATGACAAAAAACGCAAGTGCTGGTACTTAGAGAAATATCAGGGAGAAATCAGTGACTTGCCTTACTTCGTCCGGCAAAAGAGAAAGTCCATGAAAGAAGACTTGACGTGGCATTTCTCTCACCAAAGCCGGTGATCCATTGCAGCTAGAGTATGATGTCGTGAGGGCGAAAAGAATTGCTAGACGCAGACCGAGAGTTGGACATCTTTGTGGGTGATATCTTAGTCAGGTGTTTGCTCAGGTCGTCTGGCAGGTGGCGCCGTCATTTTCGATGCAGACATCTTCAGCCGTAGCTCTGTTTACTTGTGAGGAAGTATCTCTTTCAAGTCGATGATCTTTTCCCAAAACCTGCAAGTATCAGTTTGATGAGTGAAGAAACCACACATGTCAAGGTCGTTTGCGAGGTCGTCTGGCAGGCGGGGCCACTCTTTTCCCATAATTAAGATGCATGATGCATGATCCACCGAAATCTTTGTAGGTTCTAGATCCACGGCTTCGTTCCAGCAATGGCTGGATCATTTTGTGCTTGTGGTTTTTGCTCCGCATGACATGTGCACTCTGCGGCGCCAAATCTCATAATGTGAGAACTTGCCCCTTGCCTGGAAGAGATAGGTACCTGAAAGCGCAAGAACATGCTAGAAAGATTCACTCCTGGTCGAAGCAGCCACAGAAAGGCAGAAAGCCGCCCCGTCTTGGTGGTGTGAACAAAAAATTTAAAAAGCAGCGTGCAGTGCAATACAGTGGGGCCAAGAAAGTTGAGTTGCAGAAAAAAATTAGAAATCAAAATCGCAAGAAGACGGCTAGTCTTCCGCAGACTCTGGAGTCTCAACGTGCAGCTGTTGACACCTTGCAACGCTTGGGCTTTCTGCAAGAGCTACCTCGCATTTGCACCACCTGTCGCCGAGGCACCTTTGGAGAAAGTCAAATCACTTCCACTCAGCAAATCTTTTGGCGATGCATAGATTCAGACTGTCGCAAGCGAGTCAACGTCCTAGATCTTGCCTCTTGGCTTCCGGACGGAGTTCGGCGCCGAGGATACAGTCCGTTTCAACTTCTGCATTTGCTCCGTGAGTATGCTGCTTTGCGTGGTGCTCGCCCAGCATCGCTCCAGGCCGAGAGTTGGATTTTTTGTTTTTTCTAAATATGAAACTCGCAACTGTGCGGCTTTGAGAATAACATACCCTGTTTTCAGGCCACTGCAATTGCGTGGGGATCCATGTGACTGGTGGGACGTCCTTTTTGCTTGCCTACGTGATTTTTTGTTTTTTCTAAATATGAAACTCGCAACTGTGCGGCTTTGAGAATAACATACCCTGTTTTCAGGCCACTGCAATCTCCGTGGGGATCCATGTGACTCTGGTGGGACCTCTTTTTGCTTGCCTACGTGGTCTGGAAGCAGCTGCCGGTGAAAAGTTAAGCCGTTCTCTGCAAGTCAAAAATGCTGTTGAAGTGGATGCCACTTCTGTGCGCACGGTGCGCATTGGAAAAAATAGCCAGACCTACAAAGATCAGATCGCACTTTGGAAGCGAAAGCATCCCCACGCAGCAGATCCACCTCATTATCTGGTACACTTTCGTGTTCTGGGTGCTTGTGAACGTGGTTCTGGTCGCATGGTCATTGCCCCAGCCTCCTTGAAAGTGTTGCCTGCGACAGCAAAACCACCTCAGGAGAGCATTGCTGAAATTGTCTCTTCTCAGATTCTGACAAGAATCCAAAGTGGTAGTGTGTGCTACGCTGATGGCTGTCGTGCTTGGCAAGGGGCTGCAAAGCAGCAAGTGCCTGGCAAACGATTAAAGTTTGAACAAGTCAAACACAATCGTGGTGAGTTTGTGAAACGTTTGGGTCGCAAACCACGTCCCTGCGCTTCTTCTTTGGCTGGCACACAGAGTTTGGATCGGCGCTGGGACTGGTTGAAGAAGCCACTCCCTCGTCAGCTCCACACTCATAAAGATGCGCAAAGACTTCCAAAGTCTGTGGCAGTACCTGTGGTCTGCGGTCTGGAGAAAGCAGGCCGGCCCACAGGTGCTCGAGAAGCTGGGACAGCTCGCAAGGAATGTATAAAAGTTGGCAAAGCTGTATCTGTGAATCCCTTAAAAGGTCAATATTCATGACACACAAAGTTTCGGAAACAAGGGTTGTCATTAAAAAATGCCATTTTATGAGGTAAAACCATCAAAAATCAATATTTCCGGTGAACACTACGTGGTTTTAAGCTCATTGAAAACACCATGATATGATGAAAATGTTGAAAAACCCTCACGAAATTGAAATTGAACAATTCTGATGGAATGTCGATCTTACACCACTGCACGGCCTCTTATCAACGCCGTTACCTTTTTACGTTTTTCACATGGTAGCGGAGCCCTGAAAAGGGCTACCCACACCATCTTCCGCTGACCCTTGTGTGTGACAAGATACTAAGGACGTCATCTAAGGTGAGATTGGGATCTTGGGTATTGGAGCTCCGTGATCTGGACGCAGAGGCATGGATGAGCTCGTACTAAGGTGCACCTGTCTCACAGGAGGTGATGACATGGAAGTATAAGGTCACTAGGGAGTGTGGAGTTGGTTGAAGTCTGTTTGGTTTCAGGTGAATTTGGGATCCTGTTTTAGTTTTTGTATAGATTTTTCCGGATCATGAGGATCGTGGACGTATCGTTTTATTTGAACGACTCTTCGTTTGCAAGTTGGGCAAGATTCGGCAGGGTTTGTTCTTGGTAGGCTGGACAGAAGTGAATCCATGGTAAGCTGTCGACAGTGGTACCTGTAGGAGAACATACAGAATTAGTCAGCCCTGGGCAGGACTTGTGACTTGGACGGAGGAGTTGAGTCTGTGGTGACAGTGGATTCTGTCAGAGTAAGTTTTCTTTTTACCTTGTGTAGGTACGTAGTCTGTGGGAGGCGTCCATGTGGTCTTGGCAGTATTCTGGTAGGGGTCTGTGTCATGGCGTGACGTATTGCTAGCGTAGGGTCACTATGGCAAGGCCAGGCTAGAGTGTCTGAAGATGTTTGCATGGATGGGACTTTCCTGGACGTAGGAATTTCGTTTCGGCAGTAGGAAGTGACGGTAGGTAACTTGCTGCAAGATTGTAACTTGGAACTCCCTGAGGGTGGGGCAGCAGATTGCCAGGTTTGACATCCTCGGACACTGAGGTATTGGATCAAGGTGCAAAGGTTGGGAACTGATGGTGTCAGGTATATGGTTCTTGCGAAC